TTTTTTTTTTTTTTGTCTTTTTGAGACAGGGTCTCGCTATGTAGTTCAGGCTGGCCTTGAGCTCATTTTGTAGCCCAGGCTGGTCTCAAACTCACAAGGATCCTCCTGCTTCAGCCTCCCGAGTGCTGGGATTACAGGTATGCACCACCACGCCCGGCCGACTGTTCTGTTCTTTATCCTCCCTTTGCTTCCTGGGGGATGAGCGGGGAAAGGGGGCCCCTTTTAAGGTGTGTTGGCAGTGGAAGCCTAGGTTGGGGGCATCTTTGTGCTTGGCTCAACTCTGCATTTGATGTTAAGGAGGAGGCCAGGCCCCGGGCAAGGTGCCCAACTCGCTGAGAAGTGCTGGGCCCCAGTCCGGGTCTACAGTGCCTATGCCCAGGGAGGGGGACCTGGAGCTTCCAGGCCGTCTTCAAAGAGCCCTGCAGTAGGCGCCTCTGTTGCTGGCCCAGCGCCTACCGTCAGGCTCAGAGACACCGAAGCAGCCGCTTCTCCAGGGGAATCTGACAGCGGGCTGGGGCTGGGGTTCCACATTCCTGCACCCAGAACAGAGAGGCAATGCCTGTGCGGGAAGGGCCCTCAACCACTGAACCCTGACTTCACCCCAGTAAACACGATGGAGGACGGTGGTACTGGGAATTGAACCCAGGGCCTTTGTACTGAGCTACACACTCAGCCTACCCCTCACCTCATTTCTTCTTGGGGCAGGGTCTCACTAAGTCACTAAATTGTCCAGGCTGGGCTGGAACTTGCGATCCTCCTGCCTCAGCCTCCCAGAGTGCTGGGATTACAAGCATGCGCCACTACACCTGACTCCACGAGAGAGGCCCTCCGCGTGGGAAGCAGTGCAGGAAGTCCCGGAGGAGCTGGGGTGCTGCCTGCAAGGGGCCCAGCGGGGAAGGCTGGAGGCCCATTTCCCAGGCCGCCGTCCCTCACCGGGCCCCCACGAAGGACAGGGACCGCGGCGTTCCCAGGACGCAAGGCTGCCCAGTTGCTCCCTCGTGGCATGAGCACAGCGGGCTGCCAGCGGGCGGGGACGGTTCTGGGGCCGCGGTGCTGGGAGAGGGGATGGCCTTCTGTTCCGGCCAGGACGCCGTCGCCCCGCTGACGCCCAGCAACGCAGGCTGCGGGCCGAGGCTCAGGAACGATCGCCGGCCGCCTAGGGAGTCCGGTATAGGGCCGCCAGAGCGACCCGACGGGACCGCGCGGGCTCCGCCCCAAGCGTCCCCTTCCCTGCTCTGGGAGGGCGTACTGCCTGTGCAGGGGCTTCCCTAAAGTCCCAGAAGCGGGGGGCAAGGCGTAGTACAGGTTTGGACCCCACTAAGTTTCTGGCTCGTGGGCGCCGCTGAGTGGAGGCGGGAAAATAAACAGTACGCACGCGCAGCCGGGAGGGCTAATGAAGCTCGACGTACTACGAGAACCAGAATGCAGCGCGCCCAGAGGTGACTCCGCCCGATGAACCCTGGGATCTGTAGTCGGCAGGGCCGGTCGCCCGGTGCACCCCGGGATCTGTAGTCTACGGGCCTGGAGGGCAGGCCGCCCGATGCACGCCGGGACCGGTAGTCGGCGGAGCCGAAGGGCAGACGGCCCGGTGCATGCCGGGGTCGGTAGTCCGCGCCGGGGCCCGCCTCTCACCTGGCCGGCGGCTGGCGCCCGGGGGGCCAATGGGAGCGGCAGCCGGTCTGCCCCGCCTCGCGCCTCGCGACGTCGGTGCCGGGACATGGCCGCCGCCGGTGCAGAGTCTGTGAGCTGAGCTCCTGCTGCCAGGAACTCAACGCCGCGGTCATCGTCCGCCGGCCGGGCCCAGGCGCTGCCGGGACGGCGAGGAGCTGCAGAGCGGGACGAGGAGGAGGCCGCAGCCGGAGGCCGCCGCGGCCGGCGCATGGCGTCCATCTTGCTGAGGAGCTGCCGC